GGACTTAAGTCTTTGAAGGGATTCTAAGTCTTGTGTGGGCATTCTAAATCTTCGACTGGGCATTCTAAATCTTCGAGGGGGCGCTCTAAGTCTTCGAGGGATCGTTCTATGTCTTGGAGGCGTTCTAAGACCTTCGAGGGGGCGTTTCTTCAAGAGTGCGCGGGGGCGTTCTAATCTAAGTCTTCGAAGAGGGCGTTCTAAGTCTTCGAGGGGGGCGATCGGTCTTCGAGAGGGTCTTCTATTTTGGAGGGTTGCGTTCTAAGACTTCGGGGGCGGTCTAAGTCTTTCTAAGGAGGCGTTCTAAGTTTTGGAGGGGGGAGCGGACATTGTAAGTCTTCGAAGGGATTCTAAATCTTCGAGGGGGCATCAAAGTCTTCGAGGGGGGGGGGGCGTTCTAAGTCTTCGAGGGGGGCGTCTCATAAGCTCGAGGGGGGCGTCTAAAGTCTTCGAGGGGGCGTGCTAAGTCTCAGAGAGGGGGCGTTCTAAGTCTTCGCGAGGGGGCGTTCTAGTCTTCGAGGGGGGCGTTCTATGTCTTCGAGTGGGGGCGTTCTACGTCTTCGAGGAGGGCGTTCTAAGTCTTCGAGAAGGGAATTCTATGTCTTCGAGGGGGGGGCATTCTAAATGTTCGAGGGGGGCGTTCTAAGTCTTGAAAAGGATTCTAAGTCTTCGAGGGGGCGTTCTAAAGGGGCGTTCTAAGTCTTCGAGGGGGGGCGTTTTTGGGCGTTTCGTTGGGCGTTCTACGTCTTCGAGGAGGGGGCGTTCTAAGTCTTCGAGAAGGGAATTCGAAGTCTTCGAGGGTACATTCTAAATGTTCGAGGGGGGGGCGTTTTCTCAGTCTTGGAGGAAGGATTCTAGTCTTCGAGGGGGCTTTTCTAAGTCTTCGAAGGGAGCGTTCCAAGTCTTCGAGTGGGCGTTCTAGTCTTCGAGCGGGGCGTTCTAAGTCTTGAGGGGGCGATCTAAGGCGGGCGTTCTAAGTCTTTGAGGGGGGCGTTCTACCCGTCTAGCTTCCGTTCATGTCTTCGAGGGGACTTGTTCTAAGTCTTCGAGCGATCAAATCTTCGTTCTTTTTAGTTTCGTTCCCGTCTCTTTTCGGGGTGCGTTCTAAGGTCTTCGAGGAGGGCTTTCTAAGTCTTCGAGGGGGCGTTTACGTCTACAGTCTTCGAGAGGGAATTCGAAGTCTTCGAGGGGCATTCTAAATGTTCGAGGGGGCGTTCTAAGTCCTTGGAAAGGATTCTAAGTCTTTCCGGGGCGCGTTCTAGTTTCGAAGCGAGTTCTTTCGTTTCTAAGTCTTCGAGGAGGGGGCGGCTCTAAGTCTTCTTGGGGAAAGGTGACATTCTAAGACTTCGAGGGGGCGTGTCTAATTCTTCTATTCTTCTATAGCCTTCGAAAGGGCTGTTTCTAGCTCTTCGAAAGGGGCGTTTCTAAGTTTTCGAGGGGCGTTCTAAGTCTTCGAGGGGCGTTCAAGTCAGAGAGGGCGCTTCTTAGTCTCGAGGGGAATTCTAAGTTTCGAGGGGCAGAGGGGGGACATTCTAAGTCTCGAAGGGGGGACATAGTTTCGAGGGGCATTCTAAGTCTTCGACGGGGCGTCAAAATAACCTTCGAGGGGGGCGATCGTTTCGTTTAAGTCTTCGAGGGGGGCGCATAAGTCTCCGTGGGGGGCGTCCTAAGTCTTCGAGGGGGCATCTAAATCTTCGTGGGCGCGATCAAAGTCTTTCGAGGGGGCGTTCTAAGTCTTCGAGGGGGCGTCATAAGTCTCGAGGTGGCGTCCTAAGTCTTCGAGGGGGGCGGTCCTAAGTCTCCGTTCTAGGTTCTAAGGAGCGTTCTAATAGGGGGCGTTCTACGCGGGGGCGGCGTTCTAAGTCTTCGAGAAGGGAATTCTATGTCTTCGTGGGGCATTCAATGTCGAGGCGTTCCTAAAGTCTTCGAAAGGATTCTAATCTTCGAGGGGGGCGTTCTCGATTTTTCTTTCTAAGTCTTCGAGGGGGGGAGTTCTAAGTCTTCGAGGGGGGGCGTTCTACGTCTTGATAAGGCGTTCTAAGTCTCGAGAGGGAATGAAGTATTAGAGGGGGCAGTTTATAAAGTTCGAGGGGGCCGTTCTCAGTCTTGGAAAGGATTCTAAGTCTTCGAAGGCCGTTCAAGTTGAGGAGCGTTTCTAAGTCTTCGAGGGGAGTTTTCTAACGCCGTTCAAGTATTCGAGGAGGCGTCTAGTCTTCTGGGGGAACGGGGAATTATAAGACTTCGGAGGGGGCGTTCTCGTCTTTCTTTTTCTAACTCTTCGAAGGGGGAGCGTCTAGTTTTCGAGGGGGCGTTTAAGTCTTCGAGGGGCGTCTAAGTCTAAGAGGGGGCCGTTCTAGTCTCCGAGGGGGAATTCTAAGTCCGAGGGGGAGGGCGATCAAAGTCTTCGAGGGGGGCGTTGTCAGTCTCGAGGGGGGCGTCATAAGTCTCGAGGGCGTCCTAAGTCTTCGAGGGGGCGTGCTAAGTCTCCGAGGGGGGCGTTCTAAGTGTGGCGGGGCCCATTGCCCTAAGTATTCGAGGGGCCGGGTTTCAATCTTCGGGGGACGGGGAGGGAGGGAGGAAGGAAGGGAGGAGGGGGGGAGAAGGGGAGCTTCTTTTGCCGGGAGCGTCTAATTCTCGAGGCGGGCGTTCTAAGTCTTCGAGCGGCCGTCTAAGTCTCGAGGGGGCGTACAAGTTTCGAGGGGGGTTTACGTCTTCGAGAAGGCGTGCTATGTCTTCGGGGGCGTTCTTTGGGTTCTAAGTCTTCGGGGAGGCGTTCTAAGCTTGGAGGGGAGCGTCTAAGCTCGAGGGGCGCGAGGGGACATTCTAAGTTTGAAGGGATTCTAAGTCTTCGTGGGGCTTTAAATCTTCGACTGGCATTCTAAATCTTCGAGAGGGGGCGCTTCTAAGTCTTCGAGGGGGTCGTTCATTTTGGAGGTGGCGTTCTAAGACTTCAGGGGGCGTTTCTAAGTCTTCGAGGGGGGCGTTCTAAGTCTTCGCGGGGGCGTTCTAAGTCTTCGAAGGGGGCGTTCTAAGTCTTCGAGGGGGCGCTCTAGGTCTTCGAGAGGGGCGTTCTAAGTTCTAAGTTTGGGGTGGCGTTCTAAGACTTCGGGGGCGCGGCCTAAGTCTTCGAGGGTTCTAAGTTTTGGAGGGGGGGTTCGACATTGGTCTTCGAAATTCTTCAGGGGGCCTTCTAAATCTTCGAGGGGGCGTCAAGTTCGAGGGGGGCGTTCTAAGTCTTCGAGGGGGGCGTCTGCGAAAGGGGGCGTCTAAGTCTCGAGGGGGGCGTTCTAAGTCTTCGGGGGGCGTTCTAAGTCTTCGAGGGGGGGGGCGTTCTAAGTTCGAGGGGGGGGCGTTCTACGTCTTCGAGGGGAGGGCGTTCTAAGTCTTCGAGAAGGGAATTCTATGTCTTCGAGGGGGCATTCTAAATGTTCGAGGGGGGGCGTTCTAAGTCTTGGAAAGGATTCTAAGTCTTCGAGGAGGGCGTTCTAAGTCTTCGAGGGGGGGGGGGGCGTTCTTCTACGTCTTCGAGGGGGCGTTCTAAGTCTTCGAGAAGGGAATTCGAAGTCTTCGAGGGGGCATTCTAAATGTTCGAGGGGGGCGTTTCTAAGTCTTGGAAAGGATTCTAAGTCTTCGCGAGGGCGTTCTAAGTCTTCGAGGGGGGCGTTCTAAGTCTTCGGGGGGCTTTCTAAGTCTTAAGGGGGGGGGCGTTCTAAGTCTTCTTGGGGGGGAAGGGGACATTCTAAGACTTCGAGGGGGCGTTCTAAGTCTTCTGGGGCGTTCTAGCTCTTCGAAAGGGGGTTTCGTTCTAACGTTCTAAGTTTTCGAGGGGGGCGTTCTAAGTCTTCGAGGGGCCGTTCTAAGTCTAAGAGGGGGGCGTTCTTAGTCTTCGAGGGGGCATTCTAAGTCTTCGAGGGGCGGGGGGACATTCTAAGTCTTCGAAGGGATTCTAAGTTTTCGAGGGGGCATTCTAAGTCTTCGAGGGGGCGATCAAATTCTCGAGGGGGGCGTTTTAAGTCTTCGAGGGGGCGTCTAAGTCTCGAGGGGGCGTCCTAAGTCTTCGAGGGGGCATTCTAAATCTTCGAGGGGCGTTCTAAGTCTTCGAGGGGGGCGTTCTAAGTCTTCGAGGGGGGCGTTCTAAGTCTTCGAGGGGGCGTCCTAAGTCTTCGAGGGGGGGCGTTCTAAGTCTTCGAGGGGGCGTTCTAAGTCTTCGCGGGGGCGTTCTAAGTCTTCGAGGGGGGCGTTCTAAGTCTTCGAGGGGGGGGGGTTCGGGGGCGTTTCTAAGTCTTCGAGTGGGGGCGTGGGGGCGTTCTACGTCTTCGAGGAGGGCGTTCTAAGTCTTCGAGAAGGGAATTCTATGTCTTCGAGGGGGCATTCTAAATGTTCGAGGGGGCGTTCTAAGTCTTGGAAAGGATTCTAAGTCTTCGAGGGGGGGGGCGTTCTAAGTCTTCGGGGGGGGGCGTTCTACGTCTTCGAGGAGGGCGTTCTAAGTCTTCGAGAAGGGAATTCGAAGTCTTCGAGGGGGGCATTCTAAATGTTCGAGGGGGCGTTCTAAGTCTTGGAAAGGATTCTAAGTCTTCGAAGGGGCGTTCTAAGTTGGAGGGGGCGTTCTAAGTCTTCGAGGGGCATTCTAAATCTTCGTGGGGCGTTCTAAGTCTTCTTCGAGGGGGCGTTCTAAGTTCTTCTTGGGGGAAAGGGGACATTCTAAGACTTCGAGGGGGCGTTCTCTAAGTCTTCTAGGGGGCGTTCTAACTCTTCGAAGGGGGCGTTCTAAGTTTCGAGGGGGGCGTTCTAAGTCTTCGAGGGGGCGCGTTCTAAGTCTAAGAGGGGGCGTCGTTTTAGTCTTCGAGGGGGAATTCTAAGTCTTCGAGGGGGGCGATCAAAGTCTTCGAGGGGGGGGGCGTTCTAAGTCTTCGAGGGGGGGCGGCGTATAAGTCTCCGAGGGGGCGTCCTAAGTCTTCGAGGGGGCGTGCTAAGTCTTCGAGGGGGGCGTTCTAAGTCTTGGCGGGGCGTTCTAAGTCTTCGAGGGGGCGTTCTAATTCTTCGAGGGGGGTTCTACGTCTTCGAGGGGCGTTCTAAGTCTTCGGGGGGCGTTCTAAGTCTTCGGGGGGCGTTCTTCTGGAGGGGGCGTTCTAAGTTTCGAGGAGGGGGCGTTCTAAGTTCGAGGGGCGTTCTAAGTCTTCGAGGGGGGGCGTCTAAGTCTTCGAGGGGGGCGTTCTAGTCTTCGAGGAAGGCGTTCTAAGTCTTCGGGGGGGCGTTCAGTCTTCTCGGGGGAGGCGTTCTAAGTCTTGGAGGGGAGCGTTCTAAGTCTTCGAGGGGCGAAGGAGGGGACATTCTAAGTCTTCGAAGGGATTCTAAGTCTTCGAGGGGGCATTCTGAATCTTCGACTGGGTATTCTAAGTCTTCGACGGGGCGTTCTAAGTATTCGAGGACACGGAATCCGCCCCGACCCATTCTAAGTCTTTGAGGGGGATTCTAAGATCTTTTGAGGGGCGAGGGGACATTCTAAGTCTTCGAAGGGATTCTAAGTCTTCGTGGGCATTCTAAAGTCTTCGAGGGGCATTCTAAATCTTCGAGGGGGGGCGTCTAAGTCTTCGAGGGGGTCGTTCTTGGAGGGGGCGTTCTAAGTCTTCGAGGGGGCGTTCTAAGTCTTCGAGGGGGGCGTTCTAAGTCTTCGCGGGGGCGTTCTAAGTCTTCGAAGGGGCGTTCTAAGTCTTCGAGGGGGGCGCTCTAGTCTTCGAGAGGGTCGTTCTAAGTTTTGGAGGGGGCGTTCTAAGATTCGGGGGGCGGTCTAAGTCTTCTAAGGGGCGTTCTAAGTTTTCTAAGTCTTCGAGGGATTCTAAGTCTTCGAGGGGCGAGGGGACATTCTAAGTCTTCGAAGGGATTCTAAGTCTTCGAGGGGGCATTCTGAATCTTCGACTGGGTATTCTAAGTCTTCGACGGGGCGTTCTAAGTCTTCGAGGGACCCGACCCGACCCATTCTAAGTCTTTGAGGGGGGATTCTAAGTTGGGGGCGAGGGGCATTCTAAGTTTGAAGGGATTCTAAGTCTTCGTGGGGCATTCTAAATCTTCGGGGCATTCTAAATCTTCGAGGGGGCTCTAAGTCTTCGAGGGGGCGTTCTATGTCTTCGAGGGGGCGTTCTAAGACTTAAGGGGGGCGTTTCTAAGTCTTCGAGGGGGGCGTTCTAAGTCTTCGCGGGGGGCGTTCTAAGTCTTCGAAGGGGGCGTTTTCTAAGTCTTCGAGGGGGGGTTCTAAGTCTTCGAGAGGGTCGTTCTAAGTTTTGGAGGGTGGCGTTCTAAGACTTCGGGGCGGTCTAAGTCTTCGAGGGGCGTTCTAAGTCTTGGAGGGGGGAGGGACATTGTAAGTCTTCGAAGGGATTCTAAGTCTTCGGGGGGCATTCTAAATCTTCGAGGGGGCGATCAAAGTCTTCGAGGGGGGCGTTCTAAGTCTTCGAGGGGGGCGTCATAAGTCTCCGAGGGGGGCGTCCTAAGTCTTCGAGGGGGCGTGCTAAGTCTTCGAGGGGGGCGTTCTAAGTCTTCGCGGGGGCGTTCTAAGTCTTCGAGGGGGGCGTTCTATGTCTTCGAGGGGGGGCGTTCTACGTCTTCGAGGAGGGGCGTTCTAAGTCTTCGAGAAGGGCATTCTATGTCTTCGAGGGGGCATTCTAAATGTTCGAGGGGGCGTTCTAAGTCTTGGAAAGGATTCTAAGTCTTCGAGGGGGGCGTTCTAAGTCTTCGAGGGGGGGCGTTCTACGTCTTCGAGGAGGGCGTTCTAAGTCTTCGAGAAGGGAATTCGAAGTCTTCGAGGGGCATTCTAAATGTTCGAGGGGGCGTTCTCAGTCTTGGAAAGGATTCTAAGTCTTCGAGGGGGCGTTCTAAGTCTTCGAAGGGGGGCGTTCCAAGTCTTCGAGTGGGCGTTCTAAGTCTTCGAGCGGGGCGTTCTAAGTCTTCGAGGGGGCGATCTAAGTCTTCGAGGGGGGGGTTCTATGTCTTCGAGGGGGGCGTTCTAAGTCTTCGAGTGGGGGCGTTCTACGTCTTCGAGGAGGGCGTTCTAAGTCTTCGAGAAGGGAATTCTATGTCTTCGAGGGGGGCATTCTAAATGTTCGAGGGGGGGGCGTTCTAAGTCTTGGAAAGGATTCTAAGTCTTCGAGGAGGGCGTTCTACGTCTTCGAGGAGGGCGTTCTAAGTCTTCGAGAAGGGAATTCGAAGTCTTCGAGGGGGCATTCTAAATGTTCGAGGGGGCGTTCTAAGTCTTGGAAAGGATTCTAAGTCTTCGAGGGGGGCGTTCTAAGTCTTCGAGGGGGCGTTTCTAAGTCTTCGTGGGGGCGTTCTAAGTCTTCGAGGGGGCGTTCTAAGTCTTCTTGGGGGCAAGGGGACATTCTAAGACTTCGAGGGGCGGGGGGTCTCTTAGTCTTCGAGGGGGCGTTCTAAGTCTTCGAAAGGGGCGTTCTTCGTTTTCGAGGGGGGCGTTCTAAGTCTTCGAGGGGCCGTTCTAAGTCTAAGAGGGGGCGTTCTTAGTCTTCGAGGGGGAATTCTAAGTCTTCGAGGGGCGAGGGGACATTCTAAGTCTTCGAAGGGATTCTAAGTTTTCGAGGGGGCATTCTAAGTCTTCGAGGGGGCGATCTAAGTCTTCGAGGGGGGCGTTTTAAGTCTTCGAGGGGGGCGTTCATAAGTCTTCCGGTGGGGGGCGCGTTCTAAGTCTTCGAGGGGGGCATTCTAAAGTCTTCGAGGGGGCGTTCTAAGTCTTCGAGGGGGGCGTTCTAAGTCTTCGAGGGGGGGCGTTCTAAGTCTTCGAAGGGGCGTTCTAAGTCTTCGAGGGGGGTTCTAAGTCTTCGGGGCGGGGGGCGTTCTAAGTCTTCGCGGGGGGGGGGCGTTCTAAGTCTTCGAGGGGGGCGCGTTCTAAGTCTTCGAGTGGGGGGCGTTCTACGTCTTCGAGGAGGGCGTTCTAAGTCTTCGAGAAGGGAATTCTAAGTCTTCGAGGGGGGCATTCTAAATGTTCGAGGGGGCGTTCTAAGTCTTGGAAAGGATTCTAAGTCTTCGAGGGGGGGCGTTCTAAGTCTTCGAGGGGGGGCGTTCTACGTCTTCGAGGAGGGCGTTCTAAGTCTTCGAGGAGGGAATTCGAAGTCTTCGAGGGGGCATTCTAAATGTTCGAGGGGGGGGGCGTTCTAAGTCTTGGAAAGGATTCTAAGTCTTCGAGGGGGGCGTTCTAAGTCTTCGAGGGGGGGGGGCGTTCTACGTCTTCGAGGAGGGCGTTCTAAGTCTTCGAGAAGGGAATTCGAAGTCTTCGAGGGGCATTCTAAATGTTCGAGGGGGCGTTTAAGTCTTGGAAAGGATTCTAAGTCTTCGAAGGGGCGTTCTAAGTCTTCGAGGGGGCGTTCTAAGTCTTCGAAGGGGGGCGTTCTAAATCTTCGGGGGCGTTCTTAAGTCTTCGAGGGGCGTTCTAAGTCTTCTTGGGGGAAAGGGGACATTCTAAGACTTCGAGGGGGCGTTCTAAGTCTTCTAGGGGGGCGTTCTAACTCTTCGAAGGGGCGTTCTAAGTTTTCGAGGGGGCGTTTCTAAGTCTTCGAGGGGCCGTTCTAAGTCTAAGAGGGGGCGTTCTTAGTCTTCGAGGGGGGGAATTCTAAGTCTTCGAGGGGGGGGCGATTCAAAGTCTTCGAGGGGGGCGTTCTAAGTCTTCGAGGGGGGCGTCATAAGTCTCCGAGGGGGCGTCCGTTCCCGAAGTCTTCGAGGGGCGTGCTAAGTCTTCGAGGGGGGGCGTTCTAAGTCTTGGCGGGGCCGTTCTAAGTCTTCGAGGGGGCGTTCTAAGTCTTCGAGGGGGGGGGGTTCTACGTCTTCGAGGAAGGCGTTTCTAAGTCTTCGGGGGGCGTTCTAAGTCTTCGGGGGGAGGGCGTTCTAAGTCTTCGAGGGGGGAGCGTTCTAAGTCTTCGAGGAGGGCGTTCTAAGTCTTCGAGGGGCGTTCTAAGTCTTCGAGGGGGGCGTTCTAAGTCTTCGAGGGGGGCGTTCTACGTCTTCGAGGAAGGCGTTCTATGTCTTCGGGGGGGGCTAAGTCTTCGGGGGAGGCGTTCTAAGTCTTGGAGGGGAGCGTTCTAAGTCTTCGAGGGGCGAGGGGACATTCTAAGTCTTCGAAGGGATTCTAAGTCTTCGAGGGGGCATTCTGAATCTTCGAGGGGATTCTAAGTCTTCGAGGGGGGGCGTTCTAAGTCTTCGATTCTAAGTCTTGAGGGGGGATTCTAAGATTTTGAGGGGGCGAGGGGACATTCTAAGTCTTTGAAGGGATTCTAAGTCTTCGTGGGGCATTCTAAATCTTCGAGGGGCATTCTAAATCTTCGAGGGGGGGCGCTCTAAGTCTTCGAGGGGGTCGTTCTATGTCTTGGAGGGTGGCGTTCTAAGACTTCGAGGGGGCGTTCTAAGTCTTCGAGGGGGGCGTTCTAAGTCTTCGCGGGGGCGTTCTAAGTCTTCGAAGGGGGGGGGGCGTTCTAAGTCTTCGAGGGGGGCGTTCTAGTCTTCGAGAGGGAGGGGGAAGAAGGAGGGGGGGGCTAAGGAAGAGGGGGGGGGGGGGTCTAAGTCTTCGAGGAGGGCGTTCTAAGTTTTGGAGGGGGGGAGCGGACATTGTAAGTCTTCGAAGGGATTCTAAGTCTTCGAGGGGGCATTCTAAAATTTCGAGGGGGCGATCAAAAGTCTTCGAGGGGGGCGTTCTAAGTCTTCGAGGGGGGCGTTCTTAAGTCTTCGAGGGGGGGGGGCGGCGTCTAAGTCTTCGAGGGGGCGTTCTAAGTCTTCGCGGGGGGGCGTTCTAAGTCTTCGGGGGGGAGGGCGGGCGTTCTAAGTCTTCGAGTGGGGGGGGCGTTCTACGTCTTCGAGGAGGGCGTTCTAAGTCTTCGAGAAGGGCATTCTATGTCTTCGAAGGGGCAAGGAAAGTTCGAGGGGGGGGGAAGGGGAAAAGGATTCTAAGTCTTCGAGGGGGGGGGGCGTTCTTCTAAGTCTTCGAGGGGGGGGGCGTTCTACGTCTTCGAGGAGGGCGTTCTAAGTCTTCGAGAAGGGGAATTCGAAGTCTTCG